CCAACTTCCTTTATTCAAAAAGCCTAGTTCAAGTCTGTCCGATCAGTTGACCAACACGGGGACGTGAAAAGCACCTTTGTTGGGATTCTGGACAACTCAAATTTTTGAGAGAAATAAAATAAGAGAGTCTTATCGGTGAAAACCTCCAGGCACCATAAGGCAATGGCGAGCTGAGAAAAACAAAATCAGAGAGTTCGTTTGGCGAAAACTCGCAAAGAGCGCTATCAGCGACGGGAGAAGAGAAACGAGAGAGGCCGATTGGCGAAAACCCGAAAAGGGCGACGTCGGCTGAAAAGAGGAAATATTTCCGCTCAAGTCTGAATAAGTTTCTTTGGTTTTGAAAGAGTTGAAATCAGAAAGCAGAAATGGATCTGGGCCGGGTATTCAGTCCAAGAAGCATGTCGTTGCCATTTAAAGCCGGCTCATATTTCCAGATAAGTCCCCTATTTTTCCTCCAAAAGGAACATACCTCTCTAAAATCCATGTATTATTCCTTTCCACTTTAACTTTGATGTCCCGATCATTCCTTAAGAAAGGTAGCAGGGCTGGTCTCACGGGTTTCTCCTGGCAAGAACTAAAGGAATGCCCGACATCGTCAAGCGCGCTTAGCCAATCCCGGCTGATCATGACGGCTAACGCCTCAAAAGCAGGGAAATAAAAGAAAGGAAATTCAAAATTAAAAAGTCCATGAAGGTGAAGCAAAATCGGAAGGTTTTAAGCTAAGCAGGACAATGGTTCTTATCAAAGGTCCGAAAGGCAAGCCCTGAAATCAAAATCGGGACAAAACTCATAACCAAAGGCTTGGAAAACAAAAACCAACCCGAAAATGAGGATCCCCCGGCCAACCTACGAGGAAAAGATCGGAAGTCAAGGGTTTGTCCTCTAACAGAAAGGAAGCTGAAATCAAGCATAACAAGGCCGCAAACCCAATCACTGTTCAAACTAATAGTTTGTTTTGTTTTTGAACTGAAATAGACGCAGGTGTAATTTAGAAAAACAAAAGGAACACGGGGCAAACACAACCAAAGGAATGGCGCAAGGACCAAGAATGGTGCTGCATCAATAACAAAAGGGAAGTTTTTCTTTTCATTCTTTTCATACAAACTCATAAATAAGCATGATAGCATGTGACTCCAATCCCTAGTTTCCCCTTACGAAGCTTGTGGATTTCCTCGGCATGACCCAAGGATTGCATTCCACCCCCTCAAGCATAGACCAAGAAATTTCCTTCCTTCGCTCCCCGGCATAACCCGGGAAGTTCCTTTTTACATCCCTAGCATAACCTGAGGACCCCTTTTCTCCCACTTTTTACTCCCCAGCATAGTCTAAAAGCTAACGCTTCTCTGTCCTTAGCATAACCTAAGGGTTTCTCCTTCTCTTCTCTATCCCCAGCACAGTCAAAAGGATCTCTATGGCCCTCCGCTTCCCTGTAACTCCCTAGCATAACCTAGGAATTTTCTCTCAATCCCGACATAACCCGCGAATTTTCCCAGCATAACCTAGGGATTTTCTCTCAATCCCGGCATAACCCGTGGACTCCTCCAGCATAACCCATGAATTTACTTTTCTTCCCGGCATAACCCGTGGACTCCTCCAGCATAACCCATGAATTTACTTTTCTTCCCGGCATAACCCGCGGATTTCTCCCTGGCATAACCCAGGAATTTTCATTCATCCCGACATAACCCGTGGATCCCCCTGGCATAACCCATGAATTTTCCATTCATCCCGGCATAAATCGTGGATCTCCCTAGCATAATATAGGAGTTCTTATTTCAATTCCGGCATAACACGTGGATCTCCCTGGCATAACCCAGGAATTTTCATTCATCCCGGCATAACCCGTGGATCCCTTTGGCATAACCCAGGAATTTTCTTTTCATCCCGGCATAACCCACAGATTCCCGTGGCATAACCTAGGAATTTCCATTCATCCCAGCATAACCGTGGATCTCCCCTGGCATAACCCAGGAATTTTCCATTCATCCCGGCATAACCCGTGGATCTCCCTAGCATAACCTAGGAATTTTCTCTCAATCCTGGCATAACCTGTGGATCTCCCTAGCATAACCTAGGAATTTTCTCTCAATCCTGGCATAACCCAGGAATTTCTTCATAACCCATGGCTCTCCTTCCATCCCCAGCAGGGAATTTTTCTTCCTATCCCGGAATAACCCGCGGATCTTTTTCTTACCCCAGCAGGGACCTTTTTCATTCTTATCCCGGCATAACCAGGGGATCCTCCTCCTATCCTTCGCAGGGACCCTTTTTCCTTCCCAGCATAACTTGTTAATCAGTCCAGAGGATACACAATCCTGGTTTCTATTGCTTTCAGTAAAATAGCTCAAATTTGTGTTACAAATAACAAACGAAATTTTCCAGTGAAAACTAGGGCAGAAAATTCCGTTCGTTTGTTTATTGTGGTGTCCGAGCAGGTTTTCTTATGTCCAAGGATATGCAGGCAACCTTTGAAGTGAGGTTCGATTAGAAATTTTTCAAAATGCTTCACACGGAGTATTCAGTCGGATGAAAATCTCTCATGTTTGCTCACTTGTCTTTGCACGAAAACTCTTCGTGTTTCTGGAGGGGCAGTTATGAGCATATGATTTTTACCCCTTTGAGATGACTCCTAAAGGACTCTCAAGTTTAGGATTTTTCCTTTTAAATATTTATTTTTTAGGATTTAATTTTAGGATTCAATTGTGCGTGTCAGTGTGTTCTCATTAATGCATGCATAAAATCATAAAGTATACAGAATTGCACAAGCATTTAGGATTTTAATTTCATGGTTTTGCTAGATTAATTGGTAGTTAGGGTTATTTTTGCAAATACAAAAATCACAAAACTAAGTGGCATTTCCGGCATTTTAATTGTTTTGCATTTTTGTATTTAATTTTTATTTGTTGCATTTTTTTTTGCACCATGGGTAATTATTTGGTTGTTTAGCTCAATTATAATTTTTTTAAAAATGCAATTAGGAATTAAAAATAAATAAGAAAAACAAAACAAAAAAAAAGATTCTCTAATAAATCACCCAGGCTGGCCACAATTGGGCCAGACGTGGGTGGCCTAAATCATTAAACCCTGAAAAATGACCCATACCCATCCCAACAATTGACCCCTGACCCAGTCCAAAAGAAACGCACCAAAACGACACCGTTTTGGGGGCGAATCATCATAGCCGTTGATCATAGGCCATCCAACGGCCCTGAAGCCAGGCCCAAACTCAGATATATATGTCCAAACGTCTCTGTATACTCAGAGACAAACACACCTTCTTCCTCGTACATATGTCTCCGGTGTATCACCACCTCACTATCGCCATAAGACCACCGTTGACCACCCATCAACCACCCTAACGCCGCCGCTGGAAATTGCCTCACTGCGGCGGCCGGTCACCAAACAGCCTCAGATTTACATCACCGGACCACCTCGACCCCTTATTTCCCTTCCCGTGGTCAGTTTTCTTTGAACAAGCGCCTAACTCCTCGAATATTTGAAAGAAGGTTCGTCGGCATCACCGTCTATGGAGACGCAACCCCAAACCAATCCAAAACAACACCCCTGAACCACCTCCCCTCCCTCTTTCCAATCGTCTAAACCATACCCACCGAATCCTAATGGACCGGCTCGAATATCAAATCGAAACTAACCCTAAACCCTAAAATTCACCATAACCCCGTCAAATTGGTCCTAGATGACCATATCCTATCCCTTTCCACAACCCTACCACCCACAACCCTCAAACACAACTGGGTACAACGGAAAACCAAATCTGAGACCTCATCTTGTCTCAAAATCAACGAACACCCCCCTCCCCGAACCCCTTTTCCCTCTTCAATACTCAAGGTGAAAGCCTTAGAAGTTAAAAAAACCTCTCAAAATGGGTCAGAGAATCGTGGAACTGGAAGAGTTCCGAGTTAGGGTTGCATGCACGAAAGGTAAGTGTCATGTGCTCTAATTGCTGTCCATGCTTGTGTTTTTGTATATATTTCTTATTTAATTGATTTGTTTCTTTAAATTTTACTTGTTTTCTACATTCTCATCCTAAAGTGTTTTGAGTAGTCATCCTTGCCTGCTATTCTTTTGGTTCCCTTTAGTGTTACTGGCTCGAATTCATTTGTCTTCTATGTTTCACCTTCAAGATCTTCTGAGTAGTCTGATCTCATGCTTATCCTTGTCTCCTGACTTTTGTTTGTTCATCTCTGAAAATTATGAATGATTGTTAAATGCTCATCTTTGTTGATCTTATTTTACATCATGTTTGAAAATTCTGGGTAGGCATCTCCTTTTAGAATCTTATACCTGTCATGGTTCTTTTCTAATTTGCATTTGTTAGGCTAAATTTTCTGAATATTTTAACTTCTGATACTAGTCTTGTTAATTTCTTGGGTTTTTATTCACGTATATCCTGAGTATTAAATATCTGTTACCCATTACTTTCCTTTTAGTTCTCTGCTGAGTATTGGTCATTTTTATAAGTCCTGCATAGTTGATTGGGTTCCTTTTCTGATTGTTTTGGTTCACTAGTTTTGACATATAAAAACATGCATGCCCACCTATCAGGTGTTTAGTTTTCATGAATATTCATATGATCCTAAAAGTTGTGATAATTAGTTTCATCCCTTGTTACTGAATAGTGTAAAATCCACATTGAGATGCTTGCTTGAATTCATGAGTTGCATTGATTAATTCTTAAACTCTTTGGTTGTTTACTTTTACATAATTGAGTCTGTAGTTCAGACATTGATTTTGACCTATAACCTGAATACAACTAACTAGGGTCAGATTTAACCAAACAAATGAGAACCAAGGTTAAAAAACCCTTAGGTCAGTAATTAGGAAAAGGGACAGGAGTATTAAGGGTATTTGAATATAGGGAATCTTTTAACAAACTCCTAGAACATTCTAGTAAGGGGTTTAAGTATAATTTCTGCCTCAAACTTGAGGCACAAGTCAGAAAACCAAGGTCTATTTAGGCAAATTGAAAATTGGATAAGGGACTAAAAGGAAAACAAAGAAATTGATGTTGCCCTAAGGCTTCAATTATAAAAGAAAACAATCTGATCATTTCAAGGGACGCTAGACTTTTGGATATTTTTCGAGCAGATTTTTTCTTCAGGCTTTAGAAAATTAGAATAGAATACACCTAAAACCTTCATACACTATTCAGAAAATTCTCTTCAAATCGTTCCTTCTGAGTGATTTTTCTTTAACAATCGATGCAAGTTCTGGGTTGTTTTAGAGATATATTGATGATATTTGCCTCTCAAATTTCCTGAGTTCCTGGGTTTTGCTGGTTGTGTAGCTGTTGTTTTTTTTTTTGCTTGCTATTTTCTTAACCTTACTCATAGGTTTCATTTCTGCTGAAATTTCAGGTATCCATCTTCACTCAAAAGCTGAGAAATAATAGCAATATACACTCGAGATTGTGGCTGATAATAAAGACAATAATACTTTTGTTTCAATTCCATATCACAACTGTTATTCATTTTTTTGTAGTGTTTTTGGTGTTGTAATGAATATGAAAATGTATTAATTATGGACTGTCTCAGGACTATGCCTTTAATTCGTTTAAGTTCCAGTATATTTAAAGATAGTCTGGTCATATTTACTTAGTGTTGTAATTTGAGTTGTGGTAGAGGTTTAACAACTGAACACGTAAATACTCTGGATGAGGAGTACTTCAAATTGTTCATTCAAATAAATGTGAAATCCTTCTCAACATCTTCCTTATTAAAATACTTTCAGTATACTTTATAATGACCATGTGGATAGTTTTAATGACTGTGGTACAACCGAAAGAAGGGCCGCTGTTTTTTTCCTATAATGGACTCATTAGTCCAACGCTTCTGGGCCCAATTGGAAGGCCCAATAGCTATAAGTTGTGGCATAAAAATACATATTCCTTGGGCTTGCTATAAAAATGAAGCCCGATGCGCATAATCAGCCATGGATGAGGCTGAAAAATGCAAGTACCGAATTCCTCCAAATGCATTACTCATGTATAAATTATTAGGACATATCTTAGATATAGGAATAATAGAAAACATAATATTCTTTAGGTTGCCCTTATAAAATAAAGTGAGCCACGTTAACTTAATCAAACACCACGCGAGGCTCCTTAACTTAATAAAATACATAGAAAATTGGAAGTGTTGTTTAGCGAATTTCACGGCCTTCCACGAATTTTTAAAGATGTAGTTGCTATAGGCGCGAATTTATTAACAAACATATCTTCCTAAACTCGGGTGTGCATTTATGTGACCAAAATCCAAGTCTCAACGATGTTAAAACGTATCGAAAACCCGGGTGCATTTATGTGACGTGGTTCGAGGCGTGTTTTAATAAAGTTGCAAATATCTCTAATACGAATAAAGCGGTTAATAATTTAAAATTGCACTATAGGATGAACATGTATTAAAATCAGAATTTTAGCCAATTGTAATAGTTTATGCGATCGTGCTAGAACCACGGGATCCGAGGGTGCCTAACACCTTCCCTCGGGTCAACAGAATTCCTTACTCAAGAATCTCTGGTTCGCAGACTCCAATTGGGTAGTCAAAAAAATTTCCTCGATTTGGGATTCTAAATAAACTGGTGACTTGGGACACCAAAAGCCAAACCTATCCCAAGTGGCGACTCTTAATAAATAAATAATATCATTTCGAATAATGTCACTTTAATTGGAAAAACTCTCTTATACGTTTTATCCTTCGGGGTAGCCGTGTAACAAAAGGAGGTGTGACAAATATGTGTCCACAACGGAGTACCGAAATAGTAAGCTTCTTCAGGAGGCTTATTTTCAATGGAGTATTAACTAGATAAACATATTTACGGTAGAGTCCAATATGGATAAGCTTCTTCATAAAGCTTATTAAACGCGGAGTACTAAATGGACATCAACAACATAATATATTATAACAGTCCCTCTTGGATGTTCTTGTCTTGTTAAAATCTTGCTAGAAAAAAAATCAATGGGAAAAAATCATAGTCAAGGAAAACGAGTACACTTACTAATAATATACATTGCAAGCTGCCTCATTAAAAACCTTATTAGGAGAACCCAATTGAAAAAAACTTTAGCAAGGGATAAATAGTACAATGCATATTTTACTCTCACTAATTGTTTCAAATACCCAAGTCTCCACAATCTAATCTTTTATACCATCTTCTCGAAGGTTCCAGTAGGCAAAGTCTTGGTGAACAAATCTGGCTGATTTTTACTTGAACGGATTGGTTGCATATCAATGTCACAATTATTTTGAAAACCGTATGTGTAGAATAATTTTGGTGAATTGTGCTTCGTTCTTTCTCTTTTATAAATCTTCCCTTCAATTGGGTTATGCATGTAGTATTGTCTTTGTATAAAATTGTGGGTCTTTTTATCACATTCCAAACCATATTTTTCTCGAATGAAATGAATCACCGATCTCAACTATACGCATTCCCTACTTGCTTTATAAATAAATATTATCTCAACATGATTTGTACAAGTTGCAATAATAGATTGCTTTGTGGAGGGCCATGATATGACAGTGTCTCCACATGTAAATACGTAGTTGGTTTAAGATCGAGATATATGCAGATCAGATAAATAACTTGCACTTGTATAACCAACATGATCTGCACTACCTTTGTTAGCATAAAACAACCCATATCAAGAGTTCTTTTTAAAAATCGCAATATATGCTTAATTATGTTCTAATATCTCCGTGTAGGAGAAACGCTTGCTAGTAAATTAACAAAAAATGCTATGTTAGGCCTTGTAACATTAGCAAGATACATAAGCAAGTGATATAGTTCTAATTGATGAGACGCGATGCGACGTTAATGAGAGACTGGAGGTATGGAGGCAGGTCCTAAAGTCTAAAGGTTTTAAGTTGAGTAGGACTAAGATGGAGTACTTAGAGTATAATTTCATCAATGTGACGGGGGCAGCAGACGTGGAAGTGAGGCTTGACTCCCAAGTCATTCCCAAGAGAGAAAGTTTCATGTACCTAAGGTCAATTAATCAGGGAGATCGACGAGGATGTTAAGTACCGTATTAGGATGGGTTGGATGAAATTGAGGTCAGTGTCTGCAGTCTTGTGTGACAAGAATATGCCACTGAAACTTAAATGAAAGTTCTATAGAGCGGTGGTGAGACCAACCATGTTGTATGGAGTGAGTGTTGGATAGTAAAGAATTCACATATCCAAAAAATAAAAGTAACAAAAATAAGGATGTTGAGATGAATGTGCAGACATACTAGGATGAATAAGATTAGAAATGAAGATATTCGAGAGTTGGTAAGCGTGGCTCCGGTGGACTACAAGATATGGGAAGCGAGACTTAGATGGTTTGGGCACGTATGGAGGAGAAGCCTAGATGTCCTGGTTAGGAGGTGTGAGCAGTTGGCTTTGGCAAGTGCGAGAAGAGATAGGGGCAGCCTAAGAAGTATTGGGGCGAGGTGATCAGGAAGGATATGACGCGGCTCCAGATTTTTGAGGACATGGCTTTTGATAAGAAGGGGTGGAGGTCGAGCATTTGGATTGTAGGTTAGGGGCAGTCGAACATTTTTCCTCTTTGTACCAGCTAGTCTACTAGTATGTTTTCTAGGACTGCTAGCGATTTATGCTGTCTTACACACTTTTGCATACTATTTGTGTTACTGCCCTTTCATTTATTGGTTGTCTCTCACATTGCTGATATTATTTTCCTGATTTATGTTGTTACTATGGATCTTTTGTCCCTAAGCCAAGGGTCTCCTGAAAAAAAACCTATTTACACTTCCGGGATAGGAAAAAGGTCTGCGTACACTCTATCCTCCACAGATCTTACTAGTGGAATTCTACTGTGTTGTTATTGTTGTTGTTGGAAAAGATTATGTGTATACTTTTAGAATTATAATTAGTAATCTTAAAGATTCTATATGGCTGTTATAGAGGGGTAATTTTACAAAGAGCGTTCTGTTAGGATTTTTGCCCTGATTTTGGGGGGAAATTTTTGGACACCTATATAAATTAAAGACATCATTCCCATAATTAGAACATAGAAAAATATTCACAATGTAGTCGTTTGGAAAGTTTTGTTTAGGGAGAGAATTTTCACTCACGTAAAATCTTATTTTTCTTTTCATATGTAGGCCAATTGGCCAAATCATATTTTAGTATATTTTTCTTTGTGTCTGATTTATCATCTCCCAAAGTTTGCAACTATTAGCCTTCGCATGACGCCCTATTCTCTTCAACCCCAACAAGTGGTATTAGAGCCAATGGTTCAAAGTAAGGTCGAATATAGGTCCAGGCCAATTCAGATCAAGCAACCCAGTTTGATGATACTAAAGATTTTTTATTCTAAAACAAATACTACATGTAGAGATGAATTTCCAACCATATTTTCAAATATCCTACTGCTATATGTTTAAAATCAAAACTTACTTTTATCCAGGAAAAAGGCTTATTTTTAACCATGCAACATATTCACTTTAAACCCTCCAAAGGGCTTATTTTTAATGTTGCAAAGTTGTGATGACCCAAAAGGTTATCTCTTATTTTAGAAGTCAAATATGTGTTTCGAGACCTTAAAGACCTCCTTTTATCTCTCTTCGATTTATGTGCACAATTCGGACGTATATCCGCCCTTATGTGTAAATTTTTAAGAAATAATGAATTTTGGCTTAAAAGATGATTTTTGTTGACTTCGGTCAATATTTTGGGTAGATGAATCCGGCCCGTATTTCGACGGTCCTGGAGGATTTGTAGTAAATATGGGACCTGGGTGTATGCCCAGAATCGAATTCTGAGGTCCCTAGCACGAGAAATAAATTTTTGAAGAAAATTATAATAGTTTATGGAAATTAAATAGTGTTGGAACTTGATGGTATCGGGTCTGTATTTTGATTTTGTAGCTCGGTATAGGTCCGTCATAATATTTAAACCTTATCTGTAAAATTTGATGAGAACAAAAGTAATTTAACGTAATTCGGACCTTTGGTTGAGAAAATATGAAGTTTGAACTATCTTAAAATTTTCATGAGGTTTGGTATTAAATTCGTTATTTAAGATATTATTTTGACAATTTGATATCGCACGAACAAGTCCGTATGATTTTTTTAGACTTGTGTGCATGTTTGGTTTGGAGCCTCGAGGGCTCGGGTGAATTTCGGATAGGCCGCAGAGTGCTTTGAGCCTTAAGGAAAATTTGCTGGTGATACAGATATACATACTTTGCAATTGCGAAGCTTGGCTCGCAAATGCGAGCACCGCAATTGCAGGCAGGGGATATTTGCATTTGCGAAGTTCAACGTCGCAAATGCGACATGAACAGTGGCCGCAAGTGAGCACATTTGCTCACATTTGCGAAGGCAGCAGATCAGGCTAAGCTTCGGATTTGTGAAGCATTAATCGCATTTGCGAGTTCGCAATTGCGAACCTGTGATCGCAAATGTGATACCTGCAATTGTTCAAAAATAAGTTTTGATGGGATTTTCACTTCACTTCTCAAATTTTCAAACCCTAAGCTCCCATAGGCAATTTTCTAAAGAAGAGTTCTTCCCCCAAATCATAGGTATACAATTTCTAACTCATTTCCTTCAATCTATTTCATCTTTTTACAAGATTTCATCACAAAATCTAGGGATTTTCATGGGGGAATTAGGTGCTTTTGGGTAGAATTTAGGAATTTTGAGATTTGAAAATTTAGACCTCAAATTGGGGTCGAATTCCAAAACCAATTGTATATCC